AGCTTGTGAATTGACCTTTGCCGTTGTAACTCCGTTTATTTCTGTCTCTCCAGTTTGATCAAATGCCCATTCTTTGTTCAGCAGTGGCCGCACAGAAGCAAATGTTGTGATTTTCTTATCGAATCTAGTGTTGTGGTCAAAAGGAATTGTCTTTGATATTGCATTTTTTGTCAGAAGACGGTATTCTTCAAATGGTTTTGAATGTCACTGAAAGCTTCTTGCCGGCATTGACTGCCAGGTTGCGTGTCCGGGCCTGAAGCCAAAATCTGGTGACAAAACTCATTGGTTTCCTGAACAGGCATGTTCCAACAAACGCTACTAGGGGCTCCTGGCCTAGGACGCTACTAGGGGCTCCTGGCCGTACTACTAAGAACAATTTTCGCTATTAGAAACAAGACATACAAAATTGCCCCTGAACAAAACTTAACTCAAAAGTTGCGGTCCCATACTGAATCTCAATTGGTTTTCCACTGATCTACAGTATTCAAACCCATCTGGAACTTAGATGATGTTTGTGCCTGGCCCCTTATGCAGGAATTCCGAACTCAAATAAACCAATAGAAAAACAGGACATCCAAAATCAAAAATGAAAAGAAGTATAAGGAGGTAAAATCAAACTCGTTCTGTGATGTCTTCATTCTTTGAATATTTGCTCGTTTTCAACCTCAATGAAGCTGCTTGTTCAGCATCTTAAAGATGCCTTCTCAAAAAGCCATACACAATGAATATACAATGGCATATGTCATATGTTGTGCAACTGAATGTCTGAATGACAGGAACCCATTGTATATATAATCATATATATATACATGGGCATTTCTATTGGGTATCCTGAATGAGTCAATATAGAATGACAAAATTCAATTTCATCTTAAGAAACCGCATTGAATCGGATACGTAGCAACGTGTACCTTTTTTTCACATGCTGCATTGCTAACACAATTAATAGCGATGGCCTTCAACCAACATTATATGTAGACCATGACCATGACATGTCATGCAAGTGTCCGAAGGCAATGTTCCCGTTCACTGGGGGCCAATGTCCCCGCGTGAACGGGCAAAATGGGTCATGCGGATACCCCCTGGGGCAAACAACCGAGGGGGTCGTTGCAACACATCTGGAGCCCACAATAGCGTCCTTGCTCCTAGTAGTGATGCCTTTTGCTCCTAGTAGCTTCTTGCTCCTAGTAGTAGGGCCAGGAGCCCCGGAATTGCTTTCAACCCGCTTGAGATGTCAACATGCTTCAACAAGCCACAGCTACCATTCAAACCAAAACGACAATTAAAACACGCAAAAAACGAGCGAAAACAACACATACTGAAAAGAACCTCTTGAGGAGAACTACTTTTAAAACGGCATCTTCTCCAAACTCACAATGAAGAATGAAGGCTGCTTTGGGAATTGACTTCCTGAAAAATTTGGTGATTTGCAATTGCGGATGTACTTTCAGCGGTACTGGGGTACTTTCGTTACCCTGATAAATCTGAGAGCGTGGCATCAGGCTTCACCATATTCCTCTTCGGTCCTGGACACGTATCACTTGACATGTTGAATGTTAAAATCTCGCGCAACAACATCTCAGAAATGGACAAATAGACCATCCGACAAACGCATTGTTTCGTTGACAGTGGGCCAAACAAAGCAAGTGTTCTGCAAGCATATCACATCGACAGTCCATGGGTGTCCTGTTGATGGGGGAAACCCCACAACGCCATATTTCTGGCTAGCCTGAAATGTACGTCCTGCATTGAAGCACAAAGCAAAGGAAACAACAATTCGAACAGGGACTGGGAACATTGTTCCAACGTTTGCTGCACAAAGCTCGGACACCTTGCACTTGGTCGCCATCGAAACTCACACGACGAGTTTCTCTTTTTGGGCCTCCAAATGAGAGTCTCATGGTCTCAATTGTGATCGATTTGGGTTCGGAATATCTAGTAGTAACAAGTACATCGCTAGTAGTAACAAGTGCCTTACTAGTAGTAACAAGAAGCGAACGTAGAAACAATAAGCTAATAGCTTCTTGTTCCTAGTAGTATGGCCAGGAGCCCCTAGTAGCGTCCTTGCTCCGAACTGATACAACTTTCCAATCTTCAAGTCTGCAGAACTCTGCCACCGTTGTGTCTTTGCCGTCTCTTTGATGTGGCCTCTGGCTGCTACAGCCGCGCTGCTGGCCCCTTTGGCTGGGCTCTTTTCATGGCCTTTCGATCTCACACTTCCTGCCACGCCTGCTGTTCAACCCAAGTGCGCACTGGTGCACTGGTGCACATGCATTGCAAGCATTCACAAATTGTGTTTACCGTGTTCCTGTTCGCCTCCAGCATCGTCATTCACGGCTTGTACGACGGATTGTGTTAGCTCTGAGGCCGTCAAGTAGGAACCTTAGAGCCTGGTCGACCAGGCTTTTGTGTTTGCAAAACAATTTTGAAAAATTACTATTCAAAATGCCCAACAGCTTTGCACAACAAACATGCGCACTTTGATATTCATTGAATTCATTGAACCTGCCAAGCAGCGTCTGAGTTCAGTTCCGCGAGGGCGCTTGCATGTTGGGCAAAGCGATATGGTAGGTGAAATTCTTGGTTCACTACAAATCTGGCATGTCCAGATTGACCCTGTTTCCACCTCAGGATTCCTTGGCTGACGAAGCATTCACCAACCTGGGTGAATTGAAACATTGGTTTGGACACGTGAGCAACTTCTCTTGGACAAGCACTGAAGGATTCAGTTTGTTTCGGAGTTCTTTTGCATCTCTTCCCTGCAACGGTTTCATGCAGCCGCGTTACATGAAAACGGCAGAGGCAGAAGAGGACAAACGGCACGGATTCAGTTCATCCACCCACGTGGCCAAAGGCATGTCGGTCCTGCAAGAAAGGTTGCGTCTGCAAAAAGGGGGGCGTCTTAAGAAGCTACAAACTAGGTAGGCAGTGAGGTAAGATTAAGCAGCTAGTAGCATGGGGTATACAATAAAAATAAGTAGTAGCCGCTACGACGCAGAAGGGCTCAGTAGCTTTTTTAAGGAAGCTCCCCCGGCCGGAGGGCAGGGGGGATCTTTCCTGAAGAAGTCCACGTGTCAAATTGTTAGGGAAGCTCAATTGAAAAGGCATTGTTTCTTTTCTTTGAAACATTTTCCACGACTTGCTAAGCACTGTTGAGCCTTGCTTTGTGCCTTTGTCCTGTGATCGAACACGTTATCATCCCAACACATCTCTAGAAAAGAATGCGTCAGGAGCAAGGACGCTCCTAGGGGCTCCTGGCATCGCTACTAGGGGCTCCTGGCCTTACTACTAGGAGCAAGAAGCTACTAGGAGACATCCAAGGAATCTAGCCCACCTTCACGGCCTTTAAGGTACCTTAACCCAGACCTAAAAAATGGTCCCATCCTCCATGGTGAGTTCGGAAGCGTCCTCCGCCTCGGTGTGAAGAACAATCATGTCCTCATGTGCATGTCCTTCCGCTACAATCATTTGAGGCGTGTTGGATCTTGTCCAAACACTTCAACCATGAAGCAACAAGCAACTTCATCCTAAGCCGAGCCATTCACACCGAAGGCAGGTGATCGGCAAAGCCTTCGCAAGCAACGCGCACATACAACATCAACAACACGACACAACAGTTTCTGCATTCTTCTGCAAACTGGACAAGCTAAAGCACTTTTGCCTCCCTTTGGCTTCGCTTGTCGCGGCAGCTCCTGTGCTAGCTGCGAGACAAAATTCCGTGGCCCATCTCCTTGACCTGAAGCACTTGCCAGGGTTCTTCAGGTACTACGAGTATTAGGTGGAGGCCATCGCTAGTAGGAGCAAGGACGCCACTGGGGGGTCCTGGCCTTACTACTAGGACCAAGAAGCTTAGGGACAAAGGGCATCGCTACATGCAGCAGCAACCCCACCATCATTTGATTCTCTCACATGTACGCGAGCTTTGTGCATTGGACAGCACTGTTTTGCAGCTCTATATTGGACCAGTCACGCTGCTCGACGCCAGGCACGTTGTTGGGTCCAAGTACCTCCACAATACAATGCATAAATCTGGATAACTTTGGCTCCAACTCAATCAACATTATATAAGGGGATGCGGTGGCTTCATCTGCAGTTCCTAACACGCGATGTTTGTTCGCATTGTTCCCCGCGCAGACCTTCCAAAAGATCTCGCGAGGAAAACAATTCAACACTAACGTATCGTATCTTCAACTGGCCCCTACCGCAACAAATACACAGCGGTGGCCCAGCCTCTGGGCCAGTAGTGTCCACTGTTCGCTGTGCTGGCTGTGTGCCAGCAGCCCCCATCTATGGGACGATCAGCATCATGCGGTAGCGCCCAGTAAGGCAATCAGGGTAGTCAATTTCATCAGTTGGAAACTTTGCAGTTGAAAATTGTTCGTTTATGAACATCTTGGAAGGTATACTTATTGAAGAACACATTATAAAACCGATATAACATGCCCTCTTCCAAATACAAGGACACGAGGTGCACCTTGACATAATATCCTAACCTTCTGTCTGTCCCTTTAGTGTCGGAATCTCTAGAGTCCAAGTCGGAGTGTCGGAAACGCAAGCGAAAGAAGAGAAATGGAAATCGAATCCAAACAACATCATATTTGTCTGGACTCTGGACAAATATGTCCACCAAACCAATACAACTGTCTTTGGGTCTTGATGTTCTTTCTGATCTCTGCAAACATCAGATTCAATCTGCCAAGACTGTGCGATTTTGGTGACAGGAAACATGAAGAAATGAGAAAGAGTTCTTTAAGACTTGCAGAAGGGTCCGAGGTTGGGGGACCTTGGGAACACAGTTTCGGTCTGAGAGATTTGAGAAAGCTTTGTGAAGGACTCGAATGACTAAACATGCTTTGAGTCTTGAATGCAACCTGATAGTGATGGCCTCCACCCTAATAGCGATGGCCTCCAACCTAAGAGCCAATCAGAAGCGTCTGCTTTGTGTTTTTTTTACACTGGGTCGGTCTGCTGAGTCGCTTGGTTTTTGTCAGAAGCATCCTCTAGCTTCTTCCATCCACCTTCTCACGCAGCTCCTCCAATGAGAACCGTTGATGGTTGGGGAAGTTGTCAGCAAAAACACCTTCTGATGTTATTCCGATAATGCCCTCGGCTACTACGAGGAGTAGGTCAGACATAGGAACGAAAGCCCATTCACAAATTGGGAAGTCAGGATCCAGCCCACGTGTAGCCTTCGATCTGCCAGCCCAACCAAATGTTTGGGGCGTCTGAGCATCTGCTTTGAAAAGCCCAAGGCACCTGCTGTCTTGACTCTCTGACCATGTCAAAATCTCCTGGAACCATAAGTCGGCAATAAGTTGCCGCAAATCCGGATGAGTCAACGGCAGCACACCATCTGCACCTGATGGAAGGATGGCAGCTATGGCCAGTCGCCATGGACGAGCCCATGCTGCACATTCTCTCTTTACATCGTCCTGCGCGTTTTCTCTTTCTCCTTCTTTCACATCCCAATGACGTCTATACGTTGGCTTTCCATCGGAGCTACGTCCTATTCGAAGGTTCCCGCCCTCAACATCCGCAGGCTTCTTTCCCGGTCCCTCATCTTTCTCGTTCAACTTGTTCTCCTTCTTCTCCAAACTTCCTGGTGCAGTCTCTTTGTCGCCATTTCTGGCATCAAATGATTTCTTTCTGCTGCGGCTTCGTCGCCGGCTTTGGCGACTGCCTCGGCTACCGCTGCGGCTGCACCGTCGCCGCCTGCGACGACTGTGGCTGCGGCTGCGGCGACTGCGGCTGCGGCGGCGACTGCGGCGACTGCGGCTGCGGCGGCGGCTGCGGCGGCGACTGCGGCGGCGACTGCGGCTGCGGCGGCGACTGCGACTGCGACTGCGGCTGTGCACGCTGCCACGGTTGGATGGATCCTTTTTGTTGTCAATCCCAAAGAGCTTTCCAGGATAGTCCACCATTCGCTCTAACTCTAAAGCTTTTCGCCGGATGGACTCATCCTTGCAATGCTCCTTGACCAATTCGACTGACTGCTTGAACTTCCAAGCTCCGCGGTCGCCGCTCGCAGTGCTCGGAGTGCCGCTCCCAGTTACCTTCAAGTTCTTCTCACCAATTTGTGTCACAGCCTCCTGTGTGGCTTCTTCCAGCAGCTGCATGAGGCCCAGCTGAAGAGTCATCTTGCCACGGTGCCGAAGCTTCTCGTAGGCCGTCTGAAAAACAGGGCCTGTCAGGGGCCTGAAAAAGGGGGCTTGTCTCAAGACTGTCAGGGCTAAAGTCCTAGGAATATCAGCAAGTTGGTATCAATCGGCATGTCTTGTGCGAATTGTACACTACAGTATATGAATTCTGGTGTGAAACACCGTGCATAACTTACCGTCCTGAGGATTATGTATGTGCAGGTGGCTGTGAGTTCTTGGGGGTCCATTATATATAGTTGGTGCCAAGTGGACTCAATAACAGCATTGGCGAAATCGCGCGACCATTCGGACCTACATTCACACTGCCTACCAAGTTCAAAACACTTGGAAAATAGCATAATTGAGAACAGTGTCCAAATCCTGCGGGCCTGAGTGGAGCGTCCAAAAACAGTTAAACTAAGAAGGTCTTCGGGACCGTTTTCAACATTGCCGCTGCCGTCTGCTTGCCATAGAGGAGTTTGCGACGGCTGCAGTGAAAACAGCGACAATGCGGCCAGTTTGACAGTTTCTGTTTAACAATGTGGAGCCCCTAGTAGCTTTTTGCTCGTAGTAGTACGGCCAGGAGCCCCTAGTAGCGTCCTTGCTCCTAGTAGCGTCACTTTGTGAGCGGTGGGTGCCCAGCTGCTAGCTTTTGCAGTTCCATGTTTCAATTCACAATTCTGTGCAGGTAGCTTTTGGCAAAACTAAAGAACGTATATGTGTCTTTCTTTTCCAAACATGTTTGGCCCCTTTTTTTGTTTTGCTCATTTGCGTTCGGCCTGAGAGGAGCGTCCAGTAAGTATCCAGAAGTTTCTGCGCCTTGGTGGCATCATCCATCGGCCCCTCATCCTCCGGCGATGGAGTCACCTGACGGCGTCTAAAAGGGTAGACGAGCAAAGAGGGAAGACGAAGGTTTAAGCGATGGCCGGGTTTGGTTTAAGGCTTCAGGTTCAGTATTGACACTGGACATAAAGCTTTTCACCTTTTCACCTTAAGTCGACTCTTGTCTACGAGCAAAGGGCATCGCTACTAGGCTCCTGGCTTTACTACTAGGAGCAATGCTATGCATTGTAAAACACGCATTTTGAAAGGTACTTCTTTGGTGGATGTGATTATACAGTATCTTCGTGTGGCCGGCGCCTCATCTGCATAAGCGCGGGGTTCCACGGGCGTCGGGTCGCTGCTGTTGTCCCAAACATGGCATTGCAATCGCTCACGGAAATCTTGCCACAAGGCGAGCTCTGGGAAGTTCTGCAGGATCTTTGTCCAAGCAGGTCTGCATGAAAGCTCCCCAAATTGACGAGTCTCAATCAACAGCAAGCGATAGAGAAGGCAAAGAAACTGTGCACGATACCGCTTGGGCGCGCAATCATATGAAGCCCTCACGGATGTTCCTCCAAACAGCTCCAAGAGAGTTGTCTTTTTAAACCATTCAGATGCCAATAGCAAAGCCTTTTGTGAGTTCAAAGCTGCAGCTCTGTTCAATGCCACCCGATCTATGTGGCCTTCACCGGCAGTTGTGCTGACTAAGTGCAGCAAGCGGCAAGCCTCGGCAAAGATCGCTTCTTGCGGTCTTTCCAACATTTCAGCGGTAGCAGTGCGCCCGGTAAAGGCAAATAGGGTGTTCAATACATGTCGTTGCTCCGCAAGAGCTTGCCGGAGCTCATCAGCAGCCTCCGAGAGTCGTTTGAAGGCGCTTGCTGCGACAGCTTTCTCTTTCTCTCTTTCATTCTGCCACTTGTCCGGGTGCAAAACTCTGGCCAGTTGTCGGTATGCATAAGCGACATCTGATTCCCCATAACCACCAAGATGGGCACCGCCGAGCCGCAGAACTGCCTTGGCGATGTCGAGAAACAAACAGGTCAACACTTCCATCCGCGGCGCAGCTAAATAAATCCTCAAACTTTCAAATCAAACAACTGCCGTAGCTGCATAGCTGAAGTTCTGAGGTTCCAGAACTTGAGAAGTGGAAAGTAGGGTCGGAAAGAGCCAGGATGGGCCAGGTGCATCAGGCGGAAGGAAAAGCGCTGCGCACGTGTGTCAGGATGGGCTGCCTGCAACAACTACCGTGAAACACTGCCTTGGATTGCTGCTTGGAAGCGGTGTACTTGATGGTAACGGTGGTGATCAGTGCGAATTCGATCTGAGCTAGCGCTTGTGTTGGTACCGTGGTGCGGTAGTAGTGGTGGAGACATAGCTCTGGCTGTGTCGCTGTGGGGCTGGTGCCATAGTTGGTTATTATATAGCATACTGATGTGGTGGTGGTTGTGGCAGCGGTGGTAGTGGCGGGACTTGTGCTGGCGGTGGTGTTTCCAGTTGTGGTTTTTATGTTGCTGCTAGTGTGGTGGTGGTACTGGCGAGGCAACACTGGATTTAGGGAGGCACGGACACGCACACACAGACCCATCAACGGTCGAGTGGTTGGTTGGCCGTTCTCCGGGCCCTGAAGCAGCATGCTGTCTGATGGGCAGTATTTGTCATTGGGTAATTCCAATAGGACACGAACGAATGCGCGGGACGAATGCCCTTTTGAGTAAAGACCAGAATCGACGAGTCCAATTGTTTCTCATTTCGCCGACGAATCCGGGAAAACAATAAGCTACTAGGAACAAGTGCATCGCTACTAGGAGCAAGGGCCTTACTAGTAGTAACAAGAAGCTATTAGAAACAAGAGAAAACTTTAGGACCTGGTTTCACGTGGCATGCTTGCCCGCTGAAAGGTCTTCGCCACAGCAACAGTGACGATCCACTGCTGAAGGTTCTCTTCAAGAAGGCGGCAGGCTGGGTCTCGACTTAGGCTGTGTCAGGGCAAAAACCCACCAACTTCATCAGCAGGATGCTTCTCCAAAGGAGAGCGCTGAGAAAACCAAAACATGAAAAAAAGTTAAACTAAGGACCGTGTAAAACCCGACGACGTGTTTATAACAAATGGAGGCTCAAGCGGAAGGATTTACCAAACCAAGCACAGCGCGTGAGCAGAACCATCCCTAAAGAGCGAGCAAAACGAACGGGGTGTCAGTGAGTGAATGCCAGTGAGTGTGTGCGAGTGTTGTGTGAGAGCGGGCAGGCGGGCACACCAATGCGGGGAAGAAGAAAAGAGTGAGGGTGAGAGTGAGAGGCAAAAGGGATCAAAAGGGCAAAGGAGAAAAATCGACAAAGCAAAGGAACAAACGAAGCAGAACTGCGCGAAAATGCAGCTACAAGAAAAAGTTGAAAAACAGGCAGCTGCGGTAGTGCAGGAATAAGCCTGTGCAGCCAAAACGGTGAATGAAAGCAGCAAGGGAAACATAAAAACCAAAAGAAACATACCAAACAATAGAAAACTTGCCGCCTATCGGAAGACATCGCGCGCATGCAAAACACTACTTTTGTTTGTCGGCTTGTAAGATCGTTGTTTCTGAGGTCTCAGAATTCGCAGGGAAATGCAGCTCTAATCCATTCCGTTGTCTGGGGCGTTTCCTAATGCCCAGGATTGGCTCTTAAGTTTTCCTTTTCCTATCCTGAAATCTAAGAGTGGAAAGCAACAAATTCTGTAAAAGGAATGCAATTCCATGCGCAGTGGCTCGGCTGGGCAGACCCACCCCTTAAAATTGAATCATCCAGTGGGGTGGGGTTCCAAGTCGGTGATTCAAAAAAATACATGTTGGTTTATTCATAGCCACAGCTTTGTGGTTTGTATTGGTTTATTCTGACAATTATATGGAAATCAGTCTGGAAATCGATCGTACAAATACCATTCACAAGAAAAAAGGCTGAACGATCGGATCGTTTTTGGGATGATTTCCACCAAAAGGGCTACCCACACGCTTCAGGCGAGGTGGCCAAAATTCACACCAGCCACTTCAAATCAAGGCTCTTGTTTGCGGCGCCTGACATATAGCTGGAAGCGCTCAGTGCTTTTCTCCATCTCAGTCCATCTCTCCATTCTCTTCGGTGGGCATTGCGCCGGGATCGCTGGGCGCCTCATCTGCTACGTCCACTACTTCCTGCTCGTGTGCGTTCGCATTCTCCTTCTTTGGCTCTGCCTTCGCCTTTGGGTCTGTCTGTCTTCTTCTTCTTCTTCTTCTTTGGCTCTGCCTTTGCCACTGTGCTCGGCTTTGGGTCTGCCTTTGGTTCCTCCTGGGGCCATTCCAATGGCATGACGCATAAATACAACAAGAAGAAAATCATGTGTGACCAAAACGCCCCTGCAGCCTCCGAGCTGGTGGATGGACAGGTTGCTGAGCTGACTTCTGAGGCGGCATCGTCATCAACCTCGCGACAGAAGCCCGACGGCCCACTGGCAGCCGACCGTAAAATCTTCGAGGGCTCGGCCGATTGTTCGCCCGCGGAATCTGCCTGCGACGCACACTAGAGCGACTTGAACGAACGTGTCACGCCCCCCCCTCGCAACATCCTAGCCTCTTCTTCTTCAACTTCCAGGTCCGGGGTGTCCAACGCAACTGGGAAGATCTAGCCCGCAATCCGACAAGAACCTTAGGATCAAACCGCTTCCTCCAGGTCGTTTCCAACGTCGAACATTTCCTTGGTGGGCGCCCGCGCGACAGGAGCAGCACATGTTTGCGTCGAAGCAAATGAAACCAAATGAGCGCCTGGCGCCATACAGGCCGTCCTGGAAGCCAATGTCCCCATCATAGTCTCCTCCATAGACCTTTGACGCGCTAGCCGCAAAGGATCGGCCATCCAAAAACATTCAAGCGCCCGACATCCAAAGAAGGGGAGCTCTCCTGCCGTTCTGCAGATGTCAACGGTCATGAACTGTGACGGAGAATGTAAAGGAAACTTATGGGGGGTATCTTGTGGGAAGCCCCTGTCACCACCCAGCCTGGAATAAGAAAAATTACACCACCGTAGACCCCAAACAGTTTGTGCTTTTCATGCTTTTCACATCGAAACTAGAGCTTGCGACGTCCAGAGCTGGGAGACAAAGGATTGCGTACAGAGCGGGCGGACACATCTTAAGAAAGAATTGAGAAGCCCCAACAGCAAACCTTTTGGGGAATTATTCTTCAAGTGCGAACATGATGCTGGTCATGCTGCTCAACCAGCGGGGAGCTGACCACGGGAGGACAAGAAATAAAAGCATGAGGAGCGAAGGATGTGACATGAAATTGATTTTTGGCGCCGTATGCCCTCCGTCCCAACTGAACAGAGAGATCGCTGCCACTCCGCCGAAATCCAATCCGGTCATTCATCCAACGCTTGCCCGAAAAGGAAAACAAAGCTGAGAGAGTTACACAGCGGCAGGAATGCAATCCCGGAGACAGTCACGCACCCCTTTCAAAGTAGCAAGAACCTTTCACAGGTGAACCTGTTCCAGCGGACAGGGCAGAAAACACCAGCGCAGCAAAAAGAAAGAAATCACATGGGAGACAAATGAATAGAAATGCTACATGGCCAGCAGAAAAGCCAGCGGAAAAGGGCGGACACCAGCAGTGACAAACCTGGGAAACAAATGAATAGAAATGTTGCATCGCCAGCGGACAAGGGCGGACACCGCAAGCGACAGACCTGGGAGACAAATGATGAATAGAAATGCCACATGGCCAACGGAAAAGGGCGGACAGCAGCAGTAACGGACCTGGGAGACAAACGAATAGAAATGCTTCATGGCCAGCGGAAAAGGGCGGAGACGACCAGTGACAGGCCTGGGAGACACATGAATAGAAATGCTGCATGGCCAACGGACAAGGGCGGACACCAGCAGTGACAGACCTGGGAGATGAATAGACACGCTGCATGGCCAGCGGGAAAGGGCGGACACTGGCAGTGACAGACCTGGGAGACAAATGAATAGAAATGCTACATGGCCAACGGAAAAGGGCGGACACCAGCGGTGCAGGGCTGGGAGACAAACGAATAGAAAAGCTACATGGCCAGCAGAAAAGGGCGGACACCAGCAGTGATAGACCTGGGAGACAAATGAATAGAAATGCTACATGGCCGCGGAAAAGGGCGGACACCAGCAGTGACAGATGTGGCAGACACATGAATAGAAATGCTACATGGCCAGCAGAAAAGCCAGCGGAAAAGGGCGGACACCAGCAGTGACAAACCTGGCAAACAAATGAATAGAAATGTTGCATCGCCAGCGGAAAAGGGCGGACACCGCAAGTCGGACCGCAAGTGACAGACCTGGGAGACAAATGATGAATAGAAATGTTGCATCGCCAGCGGAAAATGGCGGACCAGCAGTGACAGACCTGGGAGACAAATGAATAGAAATGTTGCATGGCCAACGGAAAAGGGCGGACACCACCAATGACAGACCTGGGAGACAAATGAATAGAAATGCTACATGGCCAGCGGAAAGGGGCGGACACCAGCAGTGACAGACCTGGGAGACAAACGAATAGAAATGCTACGTGGCCAGCGCAAAATGGCGGTCACCAGCAGTGACAGACCTGGGAAACAAATGACCAGAATTCCTGCATGGCCAAAGGGCGGACACCACCAGTGACAGACCTGGGAGACAAATGAATATAGATGTCGCATCGCCAGTGAAGGGCGGACAGCATCTTAAGAAAGAATTGAGAACCCCTAAAAGTAAACTGTTTGGGGAAGAAGTGGGAGACAAATGCAAGGAAGTGGGAGACAAGTCAGCCGGGACAAATGAAAAGAAGAGGGAGACAAATAAAAGGAAATGGGAAACAAATGGAAGGAAAACTGGCCGCCACACCAAACGCCTGAGCAGTTGGCAAGCAAAGCCACCCCTTTCCCACGCAGCTCGAGCTAAGGTTGAAACACATAGACCCTCCCTGAAAGAACAGCGTGACGTGGATTGGCCGGCGACACACCTGAGGGACGCGTGGCATGTCACTTGTTCAAGATTGACCTGATTTCACCTAAGCCCGAGCCCCCTGCGACGCAGCGGACCCCCAACCAAGAGGTGGACGACCGCGAGGAAGCTGGTGAGAAGGCCTGGCTCAAGCCAACGGTCGATCGACAGCAAAACCTCCTTGACACTTCAAAAGTTCTAAGCCTCTAAGCTCGACACAGCCCAGCGCAAGTACGTGGACGCTCTGACCGGCTCCAACGCAGCTCCCAAGCGATGCATGACCTCAGCAGAAATAGAACATGAGAACCACGCTCGCGACCTTGAAAAACGAGCTGGAATCTAGAGGACCCAATCCACGAAAAAATGATGTCATCTTCTGTCTTTCAACATATGGCCAGCCACTAGCTTTTCTTCCTTCGTATTATCACATTTTTCCAAAGGAAGGATCCGCCACACACTCCGGCAACTTTGGACGTCTAGGAAGCTTTAACTAGCGTGTGGTGAAACACACCGAGTCCACGGTCAGCAAAAGATTTGGCGGAGACGAAATCCAAGTCCAAAAGCATTACCATTTCCTGGGCCGGAAAGCTGACGCATAATTTATGGCATATCAGCAAAGCCAACAAAAAGGCACAACTACTGCTAGGCATCAGCATAGGAGCTGCTTGACGCATCACTTCGTCGTCCCTGCCTTTTAGAAGGCACTCATGATGGCATGCGCTGCGTTCCAGTACTGGTCACATCATTCGGGCTGCCCTAGGGTCTGCGCTACAGCTACGTCAGCCACACAGATGTCTGCAGCTTAGTATCTCCCTTGTAGTAGTCATGGATCGGGAAGAGCGCCCAGGACTCAACGAGGACTTAGCAACCATGACCTGACAAAAACCACTACAAAAAAAACCTTCTGCACTCACTCCAACAAACATCATCCACTGCGGCACAAAGATCTGATCGGACGGGCGAGAATTCCTGGCCTTGTGGTCTGACATGAGCTTCAACAACTGAAGCCCGGCAGGAAAGCGCTCATGCCCATAGGTATGCTTCCCAGCTCCATCGTTCGCGCTGAGCACTGACCGTGTGGGCGGATGCAGCAAACGGGCCGCCAAAGTCAGTGAAGTTGAGATCTTGAAGGGCAACTTTGTTTTGCTTGGGACGTTGCAGCTGGAAACAGCAAACCCTAAACCAGTTAAACCAGTGTGACTTGGCTCATCATGACAAGCACAAAAAAATTGAAACTCTTAGGCTCAATTCGCAGGCTAAGTTGATGACCGCCTTTGATTTGACAGCCGCGGAGGGTCATGGCGCGACCCTTTTGTGGAAAACATATTCTAGAATTTAAATGCACAAGGTCGTGCTCCATGATGCCTAGGGGTGCGTATTCGACTTAACCTGCAAAGTGCACCGGAACTTCCAGGACCAACACTTGATTGTCACGACGATCTACCCAGCCAACTACCCTGCCAATCTACAGCCCTGACTATATAAATATTGTACCCTGACTGTATACGACTCGTATATAATCCTGCCAGCGCCCTGCCAGCGCTCCCTACTATAACCATGCCTATACTTCCACTCCTACTTCCATCCCTTCGTCGGGTTGCGACAACCTGTTCGGGCCCCGACCTTCAACCCATTCGGGCCCCGACCTTTGACCAGTTCAGGCCCCCAACAGCATTTTGCATCTGCACCGGAACTTTCCGGAACCATGACCTGCAACGTGCGCCGGAACTTACCGGAACCCTCCGGGACCTTGACCTGCAATGTCTGGGGAACAACCATCATGTCACGACGATCTACCCTGCCAATCTATAAACCCTGACCAATACCCTGACTGTATACTTAGTTAAAACACGTGTATCTTACTTGGTGAAGTTACAAACTACTTAAAACTAAGTTAGCTGGAGGGCTTCGTAAGTATGATGTAACTTACATGTATATAACTATTTTTGCGGACAGGTTGTTTTGACCTCAAAAGGGGGCCTGCGTTTCAGTGAGTTGAGTGGATTTCTTCTCGCACTCCTCCTTTGGCGTCGGTAGCCTCGATTGGGCTCCTTCGCCAACTCAAAAGGGTAGACCGGCCGAATCCATGAAGGGATAGCGCACATCCATCATGGTGTAAATCTCAAGCTTCCTTTCGTGGTTCCCTTCACGGTCGGCCCTTGTCCACTCATCTTGGAGCTTCAACATGTGCTGCTTGGCTCGTAGGCCTGATCTTGCCTCAGGGCCATCAAACTCAGCCAAAGCATTAAATTCATCCTTTGTGATCCAGGAACTTGTTGCCTGACCTATCGTTGGATCTTCGATCCTTGACACTGGTACTGGCAGATCTTCCTCTGCCCACTCTACTTCACCCGGTTGCTCAGTCACCTCCATTGAAACCGCGGGAGCTTCGCTCTCTGGTTCCCGCGCCTCGATGAATCGAGCCGGGATCTCAACCACTTCACCACTGTCGAGACGGACTGTCACCGTCTCTTCCTCTTCGTCCTCCATGTCTTCGTCTTCGGTGTTTCTATATGGCCTCAAGTCGATAGGCCCATCATCCTTCTCACACGCTTCTTTGTATGCCTTGATCTGGGCATGGATTCGTCTCCAATCGAAGTCCCTGTTGGAACGTTGAATGTAGTCCCAATGCTTCCAATCCTCTTCCTTGACCTCTTCATTGTCGACATATCCAGAGGCTTTCACCAATCCTCGATGAATCCTCTCGATGTAGCCCTTCATTGTCTTCATCTCCTCTCGCATGCCTTGCACGTAGGCTCTTGTTGAGACACCATTCACATAGGAGCTATCCTTGGCATCTGCGATCTTCACCTTCAGCTCTTCCACCACTCGCCATAGCCACCACACTGCCCAGGCGAGCCCTGCAACCATCAGCATCAGTACCATGATGAAGACCAGGACGCCATAGTTTCTTGTCGAAACCTCTTCCACCACTTCTGACCTCTCTGCAGTCGCCTGCTCAAGACCCCCGAAGAGGAGGATCCGGTTCAACAGCTTTGCCAACTTATTGATCTTGATGCTGTTCACCTTGCTTTCTTCTAACCTTGTGAGCTCCTCCTCCCCAATTCGCTCATCATCACTGCTCCTGGTATTGCACCAGTAGAGGATCAGAGTGATTCTCGATCTCGACAGCGGCTTTGTGCCCAGGTCGGCCACATTGTAGGTGGTCCCCACAGCCTTGACTTGCAGCTCCTCCTGCGCCACTAAATCTTGGATCCATAGCAATTTGCCAGCTATGTGACGTAGTTTGCCAGGTCCTCGTCTGTGGCACAGATGTAGGGCAGCAGAGTTGTCCACCAGGCACTCGTGCTTCACTGTCTCCTCCATCAAAAACTCCAAGCACCTCTTGAGGTAGATGCCATCTGCAGCTGAACTCACCAAGGCATTGAGCTCTGCCTCAGCTGACGACAATGCCACACTCTTCTGGCCACGGGAGCTGCTAAAGATCATCATCCCATTCAGCATGTGAATGGCTGCCGATGTCGACCTCCTGTGACTCTTCGACCCTGACCAATCACTATCGCTGAAGGTCTCTAGCAGCCACCTCGCTTCCACTGTGCGGCTCACTAGTCCATGTCCTGGCTCAACCACTTCAAGCACACTGTACTGACCCATTGTGCTCTTGAGATTTCCAACAAGCTTTCCCAGTTTCTTCAAACTGCTAGTGGTCGGACAGGACATAGTTGAAGCCAGCTCCTTGATGGTGTATGAGACATCGGGCCGTTCCTGTGAGAGGTATATGCCACATCCAACCAAGGAACGATAGAGGCTTGCCAAGTCCGGTTTCAGCTCCACTGATCCTTCTGGTTCAAGCACTTCCGGGCCACAGGGGAGCTTTTGGCCCTTCACTCTTCCCATCTTCTCCTCGTAGATCTCGACCATTTGCTCGGCATATTTTCCAGGCATCACCTTCAAGCCCTTCTCCATCTCCACGTATGTCCTCCGCAGGAATTGGAAGGAACTGTTCATGCCTGTCAAATGCTGTTCAGCTATCTCGAAGCTCTGCTTCAGGTCGGGGATGAACTGATTCACCACATAGTCTTGATCTCCCACGAACATCACATCATCGACGTGAATCAAGAGCATCATCTTCTGTCCAAGGTGTCCCAGACAGGGATTGATCTGGGAAAAAGCGAAGCCTCTCGTCCTCAGCCAGTTAGTCAGGTACTCGAACCACGCCTTGGCACCAATTCGTTGCCCTGGGAGATTTCTCTTCACCTCAAAGTGTCCACTGGCGGTGCTCACTTGAGGGACCTGCAAGAAGGCATCCTTGATGTCGAGTGCTCCCAACGTGTAGCTAGGTCCTCCATGCTCTTCCTCCTGCTTCTTCATCAAGTAGATAGCTGGTAGGATCCGTAGGGCTTGTCCTCCACTCGCTGGGCTGTGAAGGTCATCTCGCCTTGATTCTTTGACTTCACTGGCAAGGCTAGCAAATATCCTGTTTGCGAGCACACAGCGACGAGTAGAAGCGCTCCACGTTCGACTTCCAGTCCAGCCTGCGCACCATCTTCTGCCTCTTCTCCAATCGCCCTGAACCTGAAGCTTTCACATAGCAAAAGTCGAATGACACTGTGGGGCATCCATGCTCGTGAGACTTGCCCGTCCTCCTGCGCTGATCCTGCCGTGCGCGATGTTTCAGGCAGGCTGTGCACCAAGCTCGGTACGGCAAGTGGGTGAGCTCATGCCGACGTCTCTCCTCAGCAGTGGGCTCACGGGCTGATGCCTGTTCCAAGGGGATGCGCTCCTCCATTGCTCTTCCTTGGGCTGCCAAATCTCTTGCCATGAGGAGCCATCAACCTATTGAAGCATTTCTGTTTTCCCCCACTTTGCCCAATGCGGTAGAAGGCACAAGCAGCTCTGAGGCTCCGAAGTGGACTGTCCAGGGTCAGCACAATCCCATTCACTTGAAGTTGAGATGGGACTGCAACTCCAATCTCCAATCTCGCCTCCTGATCATCGAGGTTTGCTCCTTGGCCACTCTCTCCTCCAGGGATGTCCATCCCTTCCACTTCTTCATCCTCCATGGCCTCGGGCACTGCCAGCTCCTCAATGCCTTCAGGGCTTGACTTGAAGTGAAATCCATCAATCACCTCAAAGCCGAAGGTCTCTGGCACTGTTCCGCTGGGAGCGATGAAGGTCATCACCCTGCTCATCTCTTCCTCCTTCAACTCGTCAATGGGCTCCTCCTGTTCCCATAGCCCATCAAGTGGTTCAGCCATTTCCACCAATTCCCATTGGCCACGGCGCTCCACCAGTGTAGACCTGCATAGGCCCTCAACCTGGTCTTTGAATCCTGGCACAAACTGAGGGGTCTGGTAGTGGCGGCTGGAATGGATGCCCAGCCAAAAATCTCCTTTCTTCTGCCAGCCATACCGGCCGACTGCCGTCTCTTGAAGCTCTGAGCCAAGTCTCACCTTCGGTGTGCGAATTGAGCCAGGTTCGTGGATCATCCTGATAGAACCTCGATCTCGTCATGCCTGAGACATTGAGTTCTACCATCGATCGACCAGCCTGTCCTCAGCAACCTGCCATATGACAAGATGGGTTGGCTCACTCAGAGAACGTGACTCTTTCCTTGACGACCACCTCTCGCCCATCTTTGGAATGCGTGACAATGTAGATAGAGTAGATAGCTGGTAGGATCCGTAGGGCTTGTCCTCCACTCGCTGGGCTGTGAAGGTCATCTCGCCTTGATTCTTTGACTTCACTGGCAAGGCTAGCAAATATCCTGTTTGCGAGCACACAGCGACGAGTAGAAGCGCTCCACGTTCGACTTCCAGTCCAGCCTGCGCACCATCTTCTGCCTCTTCTCCAATCGCCCTGAACCTGAAGCTTTCACATAGCAAAAGTCGAATGACACTGTGGGGCATCCATGCTCGTGAGACTTGCCCGTCCTCCTGTGCTGATCCTGCCGTGCGCGATGTTTCAGGCAGGCTGTGCACCAAGCTCGGTACGGCAAGTGGGTGAGCTCACGCCGACGTCTCTCCTCAGCAGTGGGCTCACGGGCTGATGCCTGTTCCAAGGGGATGCGCTCCTCCATTGCTCTTCCTTGGGCTGCCAAATCTCTTGCCATGAGGAGCCATCAACCTATTGAAGCATTTCTGTTTTCCCCCACTTTGCCCAATGCGGTAGAAGGCACAAGCATCTCTGAGGCTCCGAAGTGGACTGTCCAGGGTCAGCACAATCCCATTCACTTGAAGTTGAGATGGGACTGCAACTCCAATCTCCAATCTCGCCTCCTGATCATCGAGGTTTGCTCCTTGGCCACTCTCTCCTCCAGGGATGTCCATCCCTTCCACTTCTTCATCCTCCATGGCCTCGGGCACTGCCAGCTCCTCAATGCCTTCAGGGCTTGACTTGAAGTGAAATTCATCAATCACCTCAAAGCCGAAGGTCTCTGGCACTGTTCCGCTGGGAGCGATGAAGGTCATCACCCTGCTCATCTCTTCCTCCTTCAACTCGTCAATGGGCTCCTCCTGTTCCCATAGCCCATCAAGTGGTTCAGCCATTTCCACCAATTCCCATTGGCCACGGCGCTCCACCAGTGTAGACCTGCATAGGCCCTCAACCTGGTCTTTGAATCCTGGCACAAACTGAGGGGTCTGGTAGTGGCGGCTGGAATGGATGCCCAGCCAAAAATCTCCTTTCTTCTGCCAGCCATACCGGCCGACTACCGTCTCTTGAAGCTCTGAGCCAAGTCTCACCTTCGGTGTGCGAATTGAGCCAGGTTCGTGGATCATCCTGATATGAAGGGAACCTCGATCTCGCCATGCCTGAGACATTGAGTTCTACCATCGATCGACCAGCCTGTCCTCAGCAACCTGCCATATGACAAGATGGGTTGGCTCACAAGGTCAGAGAACGTGACTCTTTCCTTGACGACCACCTCTCGCCCATCTTTGGAATGCGTGACAATGTCCACATCACTATGGCCGTAGGTCTGAATCTTGGTGCCCTGTGCGTCTTGGAGGTAGGGACACATTCCCTTCACAGGCTTCCCTTTTCCCATCAGATGCCCTGGAAAGAGTGAGGCATCTGCTCCTGAGTCCACAATCACGTTGATTGCATCTCCATCCTCAAGGCTTTGGTTCTCCTCATCCATGTCCTCATGCTGTTGGATGGTGTTGATGACATAGTCCACTGCAACACTTCTTGCTCCCGGTCAACTGGGTTGAAACTGTTGGGACGGGGTATCAACTTTGCAAGATCCCGCTTGAGACTCCCTGTCACTGGACCATCTCCTCCTCCGCTTGCCTGGGCAGCACTCGCTGTAGTTGCAGCTTCGGCCGCTTGGGATGCCGACTGGGCGGCCTGGATCAAGGCCTGAGTCAACTCCATAGCTCCACCTGTCAGGCTTCCAAGGCCTGGCTCTGATCCATCCATATGGTCACCACTCTCGTCCTCAAGGGTCTCCTAGGTGGCAGTGGCGTAGGACCGTCAGGTGTTCCTCAATCAGCTTGAAGGGGTAGTCCCCCGAAGGTGCTTCAAACACTAGGGTCAAGTACCCGCAAGCAAAGATTGCGAGCAAACTGCCACACCAGTTTATGGACCGCGGGGGCGCAGCTTGAGACGGGGCGCGATGTGGGAGTGTGGGTCCTGCTCCCTTCCTGTCCCTGGAGCTCGGGAGAGATGCTATGCAAATCTCCGTCCTTGCTCCGCTACCATGCGGACAGGTTGTTTTGACCTCAAAACGGGGCCTGCGGTTCAGTGAGTTGAGTGGATTTCTTCTCGCAATTTTAAAGTTCTGTAAGTTCTATATAGCTGGTGATTTTTGATGTTCAAAAAAATGTTTTTTCAAGTTTCCCAATAGCAAGGCCCAAATCGAACAGCATTGAAAAACTATGCTTTTACCTGGGAAAGCGCTGCTGTTGCAAGGTTTTTTGATATAAAACACTCACCGCGCCGCTTTGCTGGAAAAAAAGCAAAAACAACAAAAATGCGTTTTGAATTTCTTCGGTGGACCACCGCCGCGCTCAGTGGACCACCACCCCACAAATTATTCACGACTAAAACCGAAAAAAGTAGCGCCCATAAAATACAACACAAAATACAAAGATTTGCTGATCAGTCTCAGTTCTACGCAAAAAAGAAGACTACACAAAAAAGTAAAAACACACTTCTCTGCAACCCCATCCGCAAAACACACAGCTTTTCAACTCAAAAACCTAAGTTCCCTAAGTAAGTTGTAATTGATTTAGCACGCTACAACATAAACTAGGATAACTTACTTATATACATCGAATGTAATTTATAACTCCAACGTAAATACCACCAAGAACTTAGAACACTTCACAAACTTAGACCAGCTTACAACATCAGTTAACCCATGTTATAACATATGTTACGGCACTTTACAAGTTCTCCAACTAACTAGGGGGGCCCATTGGTGTACTACTCGGACTATATCCTGCCAGCGCTCCCTGCAAAACCCATGCCTACTTCCACTCCTACTTCCATCCCTACGTCGGGTTGCGACAACCCGTTCGGGCCCCGATCCTCAACCCGTTCGAGCCCCAACCGCATGGCCCTGCGCCCTCTGCAAGCCAAGATATTGGCCCTTAAATCCAGGAGAAGACATGTTCTGTGGATTCAATGAGTTTGGTTCTCAGCCTGATTCAACATTTTCATTTCCACCGGCAACACATCTGGGCTGCGTGACATTTTTGGGAGACGAACATAAGCGGTTCAAACACTTCGAGAGTGCTACTTGGTATCTTAGGGAAACACATCACTTGGAACTTCAAACAGCAATTCCTTAAAACGGCCTTCCAAAGTGCCTCCCCAACCCCCCTGACCGTTTTAACCGGAGGTGACCGGTCGACTCCGCCCCGGCGGCTGCCTCAAGGAACCTCGACGTTCACCGTGATTCGGGTGGTCTGCCTGACACCGACGATCGTGTCATCCGAGCGGGAGCGTGATCCCGATGTGATCGTCTGCGGTTAACCATGTTGGTTTTTATTTTTTCCTATATGGTGGTTTTCCATACATAGGTATACAAAAAATCATTCTAAATGGCTGGCGTTCGAAACCCTTGTTCCCCAAACCTTCGGCGCTCCAGCGTTTACATGGGGGCGCGACTCTCGGCGAATACATGTTCTGTAGCATCATGACACTAAGAAAAATAGATGAAGCACCATTTTACATTGTAATTTACACTATAGCGCGGCATAGGTCTTCCCAGCCAAAAAGATGTTCTTTTTCGAAGGGTTCTTTATCGAAGGCATCCTGGATTTCACTCGAGTTAACTCACCAGTGCGCAAACGCAATTCGTTTTTCAATTCTTAGGATTCTCTGTCAGCAGTGCAGCTCTGAGCTGCAGCTGGTCCCTGGTGTGGTTTCGCTTCCACGGCGAGCGCACAGGTAGCACGCGGGCTAGCGCGCAGGCAGCGCCAAAAACAGTCTACCAAACCCTGAAAAGTGAGCATTGGTTGCGCTTGCAACACGCAAAGACTAAAACGAAGCCAAAATGCTGGTGCAAAGCTAGCGCTGAGCTAGCGCTTCGCTTGTGTTTTGCACGATTGTGCATGGCACCCACCTCATAACGATTACATATTTTGGACATTATCTAATTACGAAGATTGAAGTTTTATATCGTTCCCAGAACCGGATGTATTGAATTACGCCATATGTTGTTGCTTATATTTTTCCTAACACTGACTTGGCGATCTCATGTGATATATTTATCTTTCCTAATGGTACTCTTAATGGTTTATGATCAATTTCATTCAATGACTAGCTGGTGCCAAAAGGATTATACTCGGTTAGCCAAACCAAATTATGTAAATCGTAAATTAATAAAATTTCATAAGCGCCCGTATTTGGGGCCCTGTGGTTTCCATTCTAAGCTAGCATAACTGCGTGACGTCGTAGTAATTAAACCAAAAAGTGTATGGTTCAAAATTATCGAATTAACAACTCTAATAGCTGGATGGTTTCCCTAAAACCATGTCTTGGGAATGTTTGGAATTGGTGGTTTCCATAAAGAGGGGTAGCCCCACATGATCCCAGCTTTGTTGATTTTAGATATTTTAATAGTAAAAACCATGGGTCAAAGGTATCCATATGGGATCCATATGGGTTTGGCTCAAAGCTCTGGTGCCAAGAGGCCGCAAAAAATGCAACCTTTAGTCGGGAAACCGCCCATTTTGGGGGTTGAAAATATTGCGCCGTAGCTATATATTTCAGTAAACCACCAAATCGGGATGGGCCTAATCTCAAAATTCTGGTAGTTGGCGATCCTCGAATCTACTGGCCTGGGCAAAAAGGGCACTCGTTGACGCAAACTCGGAAGTCCTCTTTTTTTGTGTTCCACAATTTTCAACATATTATGTGTTTAGAATTTCCATAGGCACATACACGTAGAAAAACCTGTGCACCTAGGATAATTGAATCAGAGGGTGGGGGACTGGAATTTTCATTAAGGGGTGGGTGTCGGCTGGGTGATTTTCTCCCTTTAGGTGTTCAATGTTTTCGGGAAAAGGGACAAAATAAAGACCAAGGTTGGGATGACTTGAGGCCAGGGGGAGAGGTCGAAAGCTAGCCGAATCGCACCGGATGTACTAGTTACATAGTCGGCAAAGCATGTAGGGATTACATGTTTTGGGAGGAAGGTTGCTATGTACATACTTTGCGCTAAAGAATGTAAATGTGACATCGCTGACTGGGAAGGGTACATTGGAACAACCCGGGTGCACTCGTTGGCAGGCACGAAGATGCGTGATCGGCAAATCTGGGGGGTAAATTTACCCTCCGCTTTTGTATGCCTTGAGTCGGAAAGAGGGGTAAGCATTTCTGACATCATACGGACTGTACATACACTAGGGCGTCCGTAGTGTAGGAGAAGCACGGGTAAAAGGTATATGGAATAGAGTGTCTTGAGGAAATAGCCGGTGTATGGTTATTGCAAATCTGGGGGGTAAATTTACCCCCCGCTTATGTATGCCTTGTGCTGGAAAGAGGGGTAGGCATTTCTGGCATCACAAGGACTGTGCATACACTAGGGCGTCCGTAGTGTAGGATAAGCACTGGTAAAAGGTATAAGGAGTAGAGTGTCTTGAGGAAATAGCCGGCTTATGGTTATGGCAAATCTGGGGGGTAAATTTACCCCCCGCTTATGTATGCCTTGAGCCGGAACGAGGGGTAAGCATCACAAGGACTGTGCATACACTAGGGCGTCCGTAGTGTAGGATAAGCACTGGTAAAAGGTATCAAGAATAGAGTGTCTTGAGGAAATAGCCGGTGTATGGTTATAGCAAGCCTGGGGGGTAAATTTACCACCCGCTTATGCATGCATTAGGTTAGAAATAGGGGTAAACAACTTGTAACGGTGAAGTACAAGTCCTATGCAGCAAGCAGCAGCCAGCAGCAGCAGCAGCAGCCGCCTGCAGCCAGCAGCCAGCAGCAACCACCAACCAGCAGCCAGCCAGCAGCACCACGCAGCAGCAGCGCAGCATCAAGCCGCAGCAGCAGCAGCACCACCGGCAGCAAGCACCACCGGCAGCAAGCAGCAAGCAGCAGCAGCAAGCAGCAAGCAGCAGTAGCAGCGGCGTCGTCAGCCGCAACAAGTAGCAAAGCAGCAGCTACAAAAGCGGCAACCAGAGGCAGCAGCAAACAGCAGCAGCAAGCAGCAGAGCGGCAGCAGCAGCAGCACCCTTTACACCAAGCCACCGTTTACACCCAACCAACCACGTTCAACCAACCCCCTACACGGCGCAGCTGGGAGTTGAACCGCGGGGGGGGGGGGGGGTTAGCTTGATATATCAATCTTTAAGGCACGCAGCCCCTCCCACCACAACATTGCTAAAGCAAAGAAGAACTCAGCTAGCATGCTAGCTTTCGTGAAAAAGTGTGGTTTTGCTCTCGTGCACACAGGGTGCAACTTTGGAACGTTTCTGGCCAAAAGTCCACCTTTGCAAGGAGTCATGAGTTATATCGTGTTCCTAGGCTTTGTTGGTTGGCAGGATGCACCTACACTACACACAAAGGTGACACGTTGAAATTTGAATCACATTCCAAGGGTGAGGTGCTTTGGGTGGTCGGCTGAGGCTTTGGGAGTCTCCGTGAGGTCGTAAAGCGTTAGCAAAGCTGCGCTTTTTTTTGCTGTTTTCTTTCGTTTCTTGACCGTTTCTTGGCAAGAGACAAAGAAGAAAAAGGCGACACAAAAGAATCTAGATAGCTACTACTGAGGGTTGACATCACTGTAATTCACCTTTGGTCTTGTGTGCGCTCATTTATTGTGATCCCCTAGGTATGCAAACAGACCATCACTTAGATATGTTCCTTGTAGTGGGGTCCAGGTAATCTCAAACACCCAATTTCAAAAAATGTATCTAATTATAGGTATCCACTCAGCCACTCCAGGAAAAAATTGAACACTGAACGGTGATCACATGGGTCTAACAAAGCATGTCGACAGTTCCTCCAAGCCACTCCAGCACCTAGGACCCGTCCATTTGACGGACAGATCCGCTCGACCTCGTCTGCAGGAGCTCCGACAAGAATCTTTTCTTCTCTGTGAGCTTCAATCACCGAATCGCGTAATCTTCTTCGCGTCTCTGGATCATCAAACCATAATTCATCACCAAAAAGCTCGACTTTGGGAATTCGAAGTACTTCAGGCGGAGGTGGGACTGGGGGTGGGGGTGGCGCTGGCGACGCTTCTACACCCCCAACCAGCGGCCCACCGCCGGACAGCCCGGGTGTGCTCGTCGCTTTGAATCCCTCAGTTTCTTTCAGCTTTGACTCTTCACGCTGTTTCTTCAATCTCTCAAATATTTTTTGTGTGATCGCTGGAAGCTTTGCTGCCCTAGCAGCAGCCGGAAGACTTGTTGGCAGGGTCTTTTCTGCCATCTCTTTGGCCTGAGCCTCCAAATCTTCCATGGCTCGTTATGGGCGCCCAGCTTCAGTGCTGGCCAGATGCAAGTCCAGATAAACCGTATTCCATTGGTTTCTACATGCATTCTTTGTGTCACGTCATTGGCCCATCCCCACATCTGACTGAATCATTCGAGATTCTTGGTTGGACAGTATAAGAGCATGCTCAGCATGACAGGTGCGACATGTGCACCCTGAGATCCAAAATGCCTGTCCTGCGGCAAGAATGAGTTGAATGGGTTCCGAGAAAAATCAGAACATTCACGTTGAATAGAAAACACATTGAATTCTGTACCTGATTGGCAGTCAGTGTGTGAGTACCTGTCCCCACAAAAAAAGAGGACTGAGGACTCATTTCTATTTGTGTTTGACAATGTTGTTTTGACCTGTTCACCTGCTCCGGCGGAAACCAGAGTGCTAGATGTGCTAGTCGCCAAGTTGCTGTATTAGTGCCCGAAGAATTGAGGAGTTTTTACTCTTTGCTTTGCACCCATGTTTGGCAACAAGCTTCCACTTCCGTCTTTTTCATGATTTTCATCAGAATCTTCTTCTTTTTCCCATCCATTTACACCCCAGGCCAGGCTCAAATAGTGATGGACACTTCAATTCATCCCCTTTCTTCAACGAAGCATCCACTGGGCAACTACATACTTCACTTGTCTTGGCTCAGGTCTCTGATCTCTGACGTGGTATCTACCAATCTGAGACTCTGAGACCTGATTGTCTGGCACAACACTCCAAACACACTTTTTGGAGCGCTGACATTTGTTGGGACAATCCCGCCGGTCGCATCCACAGCTTTGGGGCTGCGAGAAGATCTTGTCTGGAAAATTACAATGTTGAGAGGTGAAACAGGCAAGTGACTTTGCACACAACACCACTACCAGAGGGTCTGGTGTCAACTATTTCCAGTGTCAACCCTTGCAGGAACCTGCTGTGGATCAGCGCCATTCTCTTCACGTTGCGCGTCTCCTCGGTTGCGGAACAACACGCCGTCGAGTTTGGTGTGCGCAAAGAAAGACAGAAGGCGCTGAAGATCACAAGCGCTGAACTACTAGCGATGGCCTCCAACCTAGTAGCTTCTAGCTACTAGTAGTAATGCCCTCGTTACTGGTAGCGATGCCGTTGTTACTCGTAGCTTCTGCTGTTACTACAAGCGATTCGAGCACTGTGACCGTCCTATAGGAACTGGAGTGCCGCGCGTCTCTCCAAAAGCACTGCTCCAATCCAACTCCCAGACCTTCGAGGCCGTAATCGACGAAACCCGAGCGCCACACCCGGACAAATGAAACATCAAACATCAAGGTAAAGGGGTCTAAGTCCTAGGAACAAGAAACTACTAGGGGCTCCTGGCATCGCTACTGGGAGCAAGGACGCTACTAGAGGGTCCTGGCCTTACTACTAGGAGCAAGAAACTATTAGGAACAAGAAACTATTTGAAACGTGTTTCCTCCTTGTTTTTCGGTCCTTTGGACTCACCTGTCATGTCCCCCCTTCCCCCTCCTCGTCATCTCCACCGCTGCTGGCTCCTCCACAAGCAACCAAGGATGTTCACAAAAACAGCTTGTTTAAAACGGTGCTTATATAAATGGGCGAGACAGCCAGTGATTTCAGCCTTGCACTTAGAGCACGGTCACATAATATAACATTAGAAACACTTCAGATTCGGGAGGTTGGCCAGCTTGAACGAACCAAAAATGTGTGCTCATCCCAACAGTGATCAGCTTCAAAAACAAGGACAAGCACACACAAACACAACCGCAACCGGAAAGCAAACTGCAAACTTGAACCCACGAATAACACAACCAATTGTCAATATTTTTCAAACAAGGAAACAAACAACCCCCAATAAACCCACCAGCCAACCAGCCGCTCACGCCGCAAACACTTGCACACATGCACACCTCACGACAACCAACGAAAACTCAAAGACAACATGCACTAGGAACAAAAGGACGCTACTAGGGGCTCCTGGCCTTACTACTAGGAACAATGCTCGCTACTGGGAGCAAAGGGCATCGACCGTCCTTACACCAAAAGACTTTTGGGATGGATCCTTGGTCCCTGTGATTGGCTCCGTATGGATCCCCCTGTGCCCTCTTTACAAGCCACCCCTGCAAAGTTCTGAAGACATACCTACGTGACACTCTTGCCATGACACTCTTGTGGGACAGTCTTGCTTGACATTTGAGCGACTGTTGTGAGGACACTCTTGTGCAAGACTTTGTCAGATGTTCTGCACTGTCAAATGGCCCAAGCAAACAACTCAAAGCAACGAAGCACGACGCAACACCACATATCCAACAAAACGAACAGTAAAAAAAACAAGGGGTGCAAAGTAACAAGTAGCAACTGGCGACTTTGTAGTGCAACTTTAGTGCGCGGAGTATCTGGGGAGCTGGAAGATGAGAACTGGCGACTTTGTAG